TTTGCGTGTGTCTATGCATAGATGGAATTAACGCAATGTCTGGGCTATATTTAGGAGGAGCAAAAAGTTACAGCACATGTCAGCCCCCTCTGCTTATTGCCAGAGGTCGTTCAACAGATTTCAATCAAGCAGAAAAGCAGAAAGTGTAAATACACAACACAAAGACTAAAACACGTTTGAGAAAGAAAATGAAATCAGCATGAAGCTGATCAAAATCAGATAGTAAAAATAATTACACCATATAAAGAGGGGCTGCAATAGGAAAGAGCATCCAATCCAACCAGAACTGAGACCCTTGTTAGCGGATTCAGATGCTTTGTGTCCACACACAGTGAAACTTTAGAGTGGGTTTTAAGCAACAGCAGTGAGCGAGCACTCGATCCAAAAAAAGTGTGACTTACCACCATTTGATCTCTTTGAATCCATATGACGCCATATTCAGGTTGGTAAACATAAGCGAGCAATGATGTCACATTACATGATTTATTGATCTATGATTCTCAAGTTCAACGTTTTCGGTTACCCCCGCTTGAGCTCAGAGCCACTAACAGCTCTAAAGATGGAGACACAGAAGGGCTCGGTAATGGAGGCAAACTGGGTAAGTGATACCTACTCGTCACATTACAACTCCCCTCCATTTGCACTCACACTTAGCTTACACAGTCCCATGCACAGACACACTGAAGGCCTGGAGGGATTACAGCGCAGGGAGGTAGGAGTACTGCGGCAGTGTGTCCCAAAAAGACAAGGTCACCTTAAGTGGATCGGGATGATGGGGGAGAGCAATTCCCTCAGGACAAAAACAGGGAGTAACTCATGAAAAAGTAATTAAGCAGGATGCACATCAGTGGATGCCACAGGCGGAGAAGGCAAGGAGAGAGATGAATAAGCCTCGAGGACGAAGGGAATGTTTGTACACAAGATATCTGCTCGCTAAATGCACACAATGGGATTGTTTAACCTCGGACATTTCGGGGTATACGGTTTGTTTATTTGTCAAAACGTGACTTCTTCTGTTTGACTAATCAACAGTTTATGATAATTATATTTTGTCATAGTTCATGCAAAAATGTTGAACATTATCTTGTAGCACCTTGTCAAATGTGATGACTGGCTTTTCTCATATCCTTTCAGATTGTTGTTGAAACTATTTAGAATTTACACTTTCAGGGCAAATGAAATAAAATGAAGTTTATTTGAGTTTACCTGAGGTGTACATCAGAGTGAGCTTATGCAATTAATCAAAATGAGTTCTCCCTAAATAAAGCATTTGTAAATACAGGAGTTGTGAGACTCATCTAACTGGACCTGCTTTTCACTATTTCTTGATGCAATGATGTAGGTTTGGGCTCAACGTGGGTAGGAACACAACAACGCCTGGTCTGCCACCTGTGTGGTTAAGGTTTGGTTCCATTTTGGCAACTAAAACTCGGTTAAGGTTAGTGAAAGCTCGTGGTCATGGTTAAAAGAAACCAACACTAACGGTTAGGAGACGGGAATGCAAACTGTGTCTGTCACACACCTAACCATCAAACCCTACCTCAATTCCCCAAAGCACAGATTTTACATTTCATGTCCACATGGCCGAAAAATGTAATTATCAACAAATATGTGTGAGCACATCTGCCTAGATAGATACCCACTGGATTAGTGGTCAATTTTGGAGTACATCCAACATCATAATTCGCATTACCCTGCGATGACACTTGTTGGGAAATTATAAGCAGACAGTAAATGTGAGAACATGCTTTTGTTTTCTGGTCAGGACAGACACACATAGAAACATTTAATTAAGAATTTAAAAAAGACGGTTTAAAAACAAAATTGAATTCAAAATTGCAACTGTAGTAAGAAGTGCACTAGACTGAGTTCAGCAATCAGAGGTGAGACTGAGTACTTTTACTACACCACTTATCTACTGTACTCTGTGCTTGATAATACACTTGACTGCTTGACAAAAATGAATGAAACTGGCCACTGTAGTTTACTTTGACAAATTCACCATGCTGCTGCTATAAATTACTCACTAGTAACCTAACTGAATTAATTAATACAAAAAATGAACCCCCGACTTTTTCTGCTTTTTTAGTAATGTTTGCCAAAATTTACAGTGGCCAGCTGTTTTAGAAAATTTCTCAGCACTTAATAAATGAATATTATTTTGAATATTATGTTTTAATATTATTGTATTTGAGGTACTTTTAAATATTTAAGTCTTCAGTTGGAACCCATGGGCTTGAGTGAGTGCCAAAGATATAGGGAAGTCAGAAAGTACTGAGACTGGAACTACAAGTTATTGGTTTTGGGTATTGTAACGGGATTTGTTGCAAATAAGAAAAAATATACATAAGGCATCTCCACCACTTTTGATCAATGTACAGTTTCTCAGTCAGGTTTAAGAATCTCATTCAGTTTGAACATTTACTGTGTGACTGCTGCTTGCCTTCAATCAGAATGAAGTCGCTGTGGTCCAGAGCTGTTGTATGGCTGCATCGCTACAGACAATCCATCACAGGGAATAGAGACAAACAGACAGGGCCAGTGAACACACCAGTCTCCCCTGATATCAGACATAAATCCATCTCTCATAGCCTTGGCAGTGGCCTCGCACATGAGTCAACCACTCGAGCAGGTAGACCACGGATGCATGAATATTAATGACAACATTACTCGGAGCTTTGTTTATCAGCTTGTTAGTTCTGATGTACATTCATATCTGTACTGTTTGTACTGTTCCTTCCACTACAACGCTCCCACGCAAACAGTTGAATGTTACACACACACACAGTTGAGTTTCGGGTCACAGTCACTCTTAAAACAGTGGACTCTGAAGGAATTATTGTAAATGTCTTGTTTGTCTAAAGCGCCCAGTGTTTGAAATGCAAATAAGAGCAGCCAGAACAGGCTGCAGTGGTGGAGAAACTACTCAAAGCCTTTAATGTAAGTACATGAACCACACATGTCAGTACATTTTTTTTAATACTAATAATGTCAGTAAAATGTTGCCCTGTACTAATGTAAAAGTAATGATTATGCAGAGTGTAGTTTGCTTTTAGGTGACAAAAGAATTATTTTTGGAAAAGAATTTTTTTGTTTGTTTCTGACCAGTTAAAGAGTATGAAAAGAAAAGAAAATAAGGAAAGCATGAGGGAGCAAGGATAGAAGGGAGAAAGGATGAAAATTAGGGAAGATAGAAGAGAGGAAGGAAAGACATAAGAATGCTTAGAAGAAATAAAGGAAGGATATAAGGGAAAATAGCAGGAAAGACAGACTATATACAAGGGAGGAAGGAAGAAAAAGAGAAAAGGAAGGGTGTAAAGAAGGAAGGAAAAAGGAACTATGAAAAGCAATAAGGGAAGGATGGAAGGAAAGAAAAGAAGGAACTGAGAAAAGATAAAAAGAAATGGAGAAAGCAAAGGAAAGAAGGAACATAGGTAGAGAGCAAAGAAAAAAACTTTCATATTAAAATGAAAGTTGTTAGATAAATGTTCTGGAGTGAAAAGTACAAATATTTAAAAGATGATGAGAGGGACAAAAAGAAAAGGAATAAGTAAAGAAATTAGAGGAAAAATGGAGTAAAGAAGAAATTAAGAAATACGTAAGAAAAGAATGAAGAAAATGTTAGGTAAAGAACATGATATTTTATGATTTTAGAGATCTGTAGTACAAAGTACAAAATATCCATCAAAATAAAAATACTCAAGTGCCTCAAAAAGATACTTTACTGCAGTATAGTAAATTTAGTATAGTTTCCAACTCTTCACATGAACCCAGAGTTATGAACCCAGCGGGCAGGTGAATCAGATGACCTGTTCATATGTTTGCTATATGCGAACTACTACTGATATCAAAACATATGAGGTGTTGCAACAGAGGCAGGATGGAGGATGTAGTCAGCGGTGACACGGTGTACATCTGTCAGTCTGCTTCCTGCTGACAGGAGGTGGGGGGGAGGGGGCTGCCGACAGCCAGCTGTTAAACTAAGGCATGTATGACGGAGGCTGACAGGACCTCCGCTTTGAAGTGACAGCTACCGCCATCAGGCCGCTACAGTGTGTCACCTAATAGGTGCAGCGAGAGGGTGACAGGTACAGTCAGGGGAGGGCCGCTGCCTCAGACGCCTTTATAAATATTAGCCTTTGGTTGAAGCTATTAAAACGCCCATCTACTCCTCAGTGGTGGAAAGTAACTAAGTGCATTTACTCAAGTAGGCTAGTGTGTTTGTGTGCATACAAATATATATATATATATATACTGTTCTGCATACTAAGTACTTGTACTTTTGATACTGTAGTATTACTTAAGTAAAAGATCTGAGTACTTCCTCCGCCCCTGCTAGTCCTTACAAGTTATACAAATCGACTTCTCTGCATTGCCAAGGGAAACAGTACAAGAGTGATTCATTGCACAGTTCATGAAAGGTGACATATGCTGTTTTCAAACCTGCTGTTGAGTATTTGCTTCCAGGTGTTGTGTGTCAAATTTAGTGGTGTGTGTGTGTGTGTAGCTTACATTTCATACTGAAAGAAGAAAAACAACATCATTTCAACTTTCATTGACTGGTTTCTTTGCTGCCTTTCCAAATGGTAAAATGTGCTTGTTTAACCATATTTCTTTTCAATGTTCAGCACAAGAGAGTAGAATACACAGATGTTTCAGTTATGCCTTCTTCAGAGTATAATAGTTATTTGGTTTCAGGGTTGAGTCATTTTAACCTGTCACCAACAATGAACGTCTGTCAAATCATTACCAGCAGCAAAGAGGGTACTTTCAGGGAGATAGGTGTCCTCAGAATTGCCTTACTAAAGGTCTCATTTAATTCTTGAGATAACAAATATAGAATACTGTATAAAGCTACTACTATGTTCTTTGTTTTACTTGGCATTTCCTTCATTAAACTTGTTATCTCTTTTGATTTAGCTATACGTACAGGTTGCAGAGGCTACCGAGATACCATGTGGAGACCGTTTTTGGTCAGTTAGAGCTGCTTGTGTTTACTCCTACACGTTCTGTGTGTAGAGACTGGTGATAGCTGAGACAACATGGGGTACATATTACATATAACATTACATAAAAAAAAATACACTTCCTGCCACAAAAATATAGTACGGAGAAATAGCAGTCTCTGGATATTTATGACACTTAAAGTAGCAACAGTACAGAAACTTACTCCAGACCCATGGAAAACCTACACAAAACATAAATTCACTTTCAACGTGTTTTTATATTTCAACAAGGGTGACAAAGTGATGAATCTTCTCTAGGAAAAATTGTCAATTTCAATTGTCAACATCATAAAACAAAACTTTAAGATGATGAGTTTAATATTTGTGAATCAGGCCTATGGTATTTTGATCAAGCAGCTCATAAAAAATAAGGTCTTAAATCTGAATTCAGATTGAACTCCAACTCTAGTGAAGACCTCATGCAACATACAGTACAAAAATTAGTGGTGAGCAGCACTGTCACCATGGCTAAACAGAACCCATACAAGCTCAAATTTAGGAAAAAAGACGTCACACTTATATTGTCATGGATGATATCTGCAAAATACACAGCAAAACCACCATAAATAAATAAAATTAAATCAGGTGCTCACACACAATCAGTGAAAAATCAAACTTTCACTTACCTTGCAGACACCTAAGAAGCGTTATTAGCTGTCTAGACTCACATTGTCAATGACAGCAACCATGTTAATTTCTGACACAGTCACCTGTCCATACATCAGTCATATAAATGAACCTTGACTGCATGGCCGTCACATTCATTTAAACCTGCTGTCAAACAACCATCAGAGGAAATATTTTGGCCATACAATATTACATCTCTGGCACTCTGCACCCAATGACTGCGCTGTGACTATCGGCCAAGGACACTCGGCTGGTCCCTGTTTGAGTGTGAAGTGTGAATGACTTTTCTTATCAGGTGCGAGCAGAAAGCAGGCTGTGTGGCTTTTTCTCTGGCAGAAAGCAGAATATCTGGAGAACGTACCGTAGGAGATGGGGATGTCCAGGTCGCCCTGCCAGGACATCTGCCCCGATTCGTCTATGGAGTGCTGCGCTGTAAAAACACAACAACAGGCCTCTTGTTTACAGCTCATTCTCACGCCAACACTGCTTCTGACTTATTAAAACTCCAAAGGAAGACAATAGCGGGGAAATCTACTACTGTGCCATGCTGCACTCACACTGGCTGCCTACCAAGTGCGGAAGTGCTACTTTGTCATTGGAAGTGTGGATTTAATCATAGATAATAAATGTGTGTGTGGCAAGATGTCACTTCAAGCCTTTATGTATTGTAATGTCCAACTTCCACTGAGCTGAAACAAAAGTCACAGTCACATTATGTGATTTTTTACTGCACACTCATTTGGCAGAAGGAGAATGACAGCATGACACAGTAGCTTAGTGAATAAAATGATTATTATTCTGAACTTGGTTTTCAGGGGTACCGTGATGTGAAAAAACAGATAATGAGGATCAACTTTACCTTTCAAGTGGCCACGTCCGAGTGTCACAAACCCAGAGGAGATGAAGTTGTGCATGTCTTGACCTCCGCTGCGGAGGTTTTCTTTCCCATAATGCCCTGATGAGACAAAAAATGGTGAGAAATGAATAATTCAGCAAAATATTTGTAGGGAAATAAAGCTAATGTCCATGTCAGTGCAAAACAGGTGGTTCTGGAGGTTCGGTAACAGACTACTCGCAGGTCTAGTTACTGAACTACTTTAGCAGGCGACCCAACAGCTAACCCGCTGGCAACATGATGGGAATATATTAGTGCTGTCGGTAACAGTAGCCCCTTAGATTTGTTTTATTTTCCCTGTACTGGGTCATTACTCCCATCTGTGATTCTGTTGTCAAGATGGTAAATAATTTTATTCAGTGAATGACAAAGTTTTTGTTGCTGTCAGTTAGCAAGCTGTTGAGGTTGGTTGCTAACAAGACAATAGCTTCATAGCCTATCCAACAGACATATTTGTACGCTCTCTATAATAGCCGCCTAAAAACCATGGTAATACAGTTGTGAAGTGGGAGGAGCTATTTTCTGGCACCCCTGTTTCTGGGAGTAACATTTATTTTTTCAATGGACAATGTTGTATGAATCACAGTTGTATTTATAAGTAAGTAAGTATTTATGTCACTTGGCTAACCATAAAACTCTCCTGGATATATCAGCAGTACAAAAGATGAAAACTACATTTAATAATAATAGTTTTTTTTAATTACCTGTCAAAGGTACAAGCCTATGTGTACATGGGAAGACACTTAGACATTTGCTCCCAAAATGCATTTCAGTGTGCAAAGTTAAAGGTAATAGTGTTGAAAAAATATGTGCTGAAATTCATTTGGCTTTGGATTCTGATTTTGGATGAATTTAGCAACTAGGTGCCATGTTATGTTCACAAATTCAACAACCTTGTAGTATTTAGAACCATCTGTCTGTCAAAATAAAGGACAAAACACGATTCCTCAGAAATTAAGTTAAGATAATTAAAACTGATAGCTAAGCCTATCTGATTGTTATAACGTCTCAAGTTTCTATGAGGAGTAACATTGAAGATATTGTTTAAAGAACATTTTTAAATGGTAAAACTCTTCCAGAGCCAGCAACTTTGTAACTCTATAAGCTATGATAACTTTGCCATTCTTGAATGTCTGGCTCTGTGTCCCCTGCTGACCCAGTTTGCTATCGATTAATGGCGTAAAGTTGAACTCAATGCAAATGTGGATTTATTTCACCCCCATGAGTGAATCCACTGATCATGGCCATTCCATTTAAAATAATTCACCATTTTAAATGCTAAATCGCGTATGGGACATAATCCTGAGAAGTATCTGTACTCAATTCCACAGTTCTGCCATTTTATACAGGAGTAAAAGATGACAAGAATACAAAATAGGTCTAAAATTGCACAACTGACAAAATTGACTCTCAGGTGGGATCATCAGCTTGTCAATATGTATCGCTTAAGGATGCCAAAGATGCAGTCTGCAGGTTTCAGGGCTTTCCCATTTAGCAAACACTCCCTCTCTTTCTCTGCAGTAAATTATTGGTTTTAAGTGGTAAATAAAATTGCGCTTTTAGCTACTCCTTAGAATGGGTTTAAGCCCCCTTCTTTGAGGAAGCCAGCTCACCTCAGGTAAACACACTTCTGGATTTCCCATGTGTTAAAACATCACTCCGTAATGCAATTTGTGCCACAGAACTGTTAACTCTGCTCTGAACCAGTGCTGTAATTGAGAGTGCAGCTTGAACACAAAGGAGCCAGACCCTGACTTTAGAACCCTGACAGCATTCAGTTGTCCTGTCAATCACAGACAAGTCTTAAGAAGAAATAAAAGAATGTAGTGTTGATGAAAAAACGACGACAAACACAAAATCTGGTGAGTTGGTCTAGCAAATCTCTCCTCCCTTCCTCCCCACTCTCTTTAGCTCTCTTAGTCCCACTATACATTAACCAGCGAACAGTTAAATGCCTCTTTCTCGAAGGAACCACTTCAAAGTCAATAACATCACTCAGACCTTTGGGCATCGGGAAGCCCAGATCGAACAGCATTTCAAATTATCATAATGAGAAGAAACACCAGGGACCATTAGGCCTGGTCTTCATCACACTTCATCACACCGAACTTTGGCACTCAAGCCTCAGCATCACACCTCGTTTGTTTCTTTGTATCAACTCCAGAGGATGATTATAAATTGATTACTGACGCACTCTGACCATCTCTGTTCATATGAGACCCTCAGTAAATCAATAAATATCCAAAGAGATGAATTAACATATTTTCCTGCATCTAGCGATGTTTAACAGCACAGTGCTGTATCTATGTAGATGATACAGTAGAGTACTATGTGATGTCTCTCAGGGTGAAATGCTGATGATACATAACCTCCGCATTCTCCAAGGACAACACCGTGGAGCTGGAATCAAGTAGTTGGAGATGCTGACTGTGATATAAATTACTCCCATATGGCAGTACAAGCCTATAGCCCCTTATTAACTCCGGAAATGCTCTTCAGAATTACCTTATTTATATTGCTTAATGAAAACATATCTGACCTGTCTTTTAGAGACAGTTTCCATCAGACATTCATGAATGAAGGGCAAAGTGTTTTATTTCAGAGATAAAATAGCTAATCCCCTCATAAAAGTGAAATTAACAAAGTAATATTTGAAATGGCCTTCAGGGGGGAAAGTAAACATTCATCAAATTAGTGACTCAAGTGTGCATATTTCTGCTCTCCATTCATGCAAGGTAGGAATTAATGTCAAAGGGGGACATGTACTAAATACAGAAGGTTTATTTTTAATGATTATTTTAAATTGTTGTTAACTGTTTCTAGCCACATTTCATGGCCCCTTTTGTTCCAGTGAATTTTAAAAGAATAGTTTGGCACTTTCTTGCTGAGGGAGGATCTCCTATAACTTCCTTGTTTGTTAGGTAAATGTCAAACTATAGCTGGCTTATCTTAGCCTAACGTAAGAACTGAAAGAAGGGGAAACACCTAGCCTATACGGTAAACAACTCCACCTACCAGCACCTCTAAAATTTTGATTTTAAGATTTGATGTCATTTCTGCACCGTTTGTGTTGATTTGCCCCAACTGTACCAACTGTACAGACATTAGCTGTAAGCTAGCTAGCAACAGGCGTGCCTAACGTGTCTGTGTGTGTTTATGTTCGGCTCAGCTTCTGACTCAAATCAGAGAAACTCTGGTTCCTTCTGTTATTTTATTTTCAACATGTGCAGATGCATCTATGGCCTCAATCAAATTATCTAGTCGTTCCTTTTACTTTACATTTAACTACGGCATCTCTAACATGTGCTTCACATTCAGTCTGAACACACAGTGAAACTCACAAATAAGAATGTTATATCTTCATTGTTTAATCCATATAAAACAGTGTAATCATACAGACATGGAAGTGGTATTGATTGAGCAACGAGGCAAATAACTAATTTTAGATTGCTCTTCCAACTTTGTGTTTGTCCCTTTTACTGTTTCAACATACAAATGCCCATGGTTTTGGAATAGCATGCTCAACACTCGCATCTTATTATAATGTTCGAGTGTCCTTAAACGTTTGGCTATTTACTGTAAATTTTCAATGTCAAGTAAAACGATGGTGGTGTAAATGTTAGAACAGCTTTCAGTGAATAAATGCAGACACAAATATTCTTGATTGTCACTCTACAGTCAGACTGAGATCCAGACTCCTTATCATCAACAACATGACGTCATCCTTTGAAAATATAATTTGGTAATATAAAAGTTGGTCTCATTATATAGTCAACTTCTGCAGGGTTTTAAAACTCAAATTGAACCAAGTCAGAGATGATTCGATTCTGTGTCTGCAAAGTGTGGAAGACATTTGTCGCCTATTTTCACAGCACCACAGAAACTTTTTAAGAGCACAAAATGAGAGAACGAACAGAACTCTGGGATATTGAAGTGATATGCTCACACAGGACTGTTTTGAGAAGGATATCCACACCTCAAGACACACTTCATCAGCATCACATCCGGGTATAATATCTCTCCTGGAACATCGAGTAAGATCCAGAGTTCACATCATAAACTGCTGATGTGATTTGAGTTCAAATCCAGAAATCACCCATTGCTGCACGTCATCAGCCTCTTATTGGCTTTTCTCCCCCTTGCTGTAATCCTTTTTGGTATAAATGCCATAAATTTTCTCTCTCTTTAGCATAATTGTAATTGTTATTTTAAGGGCAGTGTTATCACTTATAGAGTTTATAAAATGAGTGATGAAAAGGATTAAAAAGAGAGAATGAGCTACATACTGTATAGGACACCATCCATTGGGTGTGGCTTCCTATAGCACCAGGATATTATATACTCTTTTATGTTGGTACATCAATGTCCTACATAAAATCTATTCAAATCTATCTTTATTCTCTCCACCCATTAACTCTGGTCTGTTGCTGTGACCCAGGAGATCGTTTCAGACCAAAGAATTGCTGTAACTGCTGGATGCCCTCACAAGGGCCATTTTATAAACCTGAAGTGAACCATTTTCTCTTCCAAACCACTTATCCTTGACCTCAATGGGAAACATCACGAGGTCAAACAATGGCATGACGGACAGTTCGTATGAAAAGGGCAAACTGCACCTCTCAAAGGAGGACATGAACATTGATTGAAAACTATGTTTGTTTTTTATAAACCTTAATTTATTGAAGACCTCAAGGGCAAAGTAAACACTGAAAACGTGAGACCTTGAATCAACCATGATCTCTTGAATTACAAAAAGCAAGTACTAAACAGTACCCGGTACTAACAGTTGTCAGTACTAAGCAGTCAACTTTATAGCTTACTTGTTAATAATGTAGGTAAGAACATTAGAGGTAAATTGTATGCAATTTATCTATTCAACTGAACTTAACATAAAAACAGAGAGGTCATCTGCATACTGTAATTTTCTGTAATAATTCGTTAAAAGGGAATGTGATTTAACACTTTACGTGTTTTGTTAATTCTTTATGTTTGAAAATGTTGTCAAAATAACAAAAAAACTATTCTTTTGTGATGAACCTTTCCCTTAACTTAAATCTAACCTTAAGCCTTAAGTTTTAACCCTCTGAGATAAGACCAGACAAACTTCCAAAAATATCAAACACAAACAAATTGACACATGTGCAAACAATGCCACAGGGGACCCACATGCAGCCACATACTAAACACACACTCCTTTCAACAAGTTCAAACAAGTCCAACAACAGCTTGAGCTAAATGGACATAATATCTAGAAGTCATTTCTACACTGAAAAAGAACAGAGTAGTGTTCTTTTTTTTAAAATTCACATCACTGTTGTCACAAATTTGTCATGAAATCTGAGTCATGTCTTCCCTGGAGCGCCTCCATCCCTGCGTGGACACCACCACCCTCTTCTCTGTTCAAAAGCACTCAACCCTGCAATGTGACGTTCTAGTACTTTTAACCCACCAAACAATAGCAGCCTGATATGACACAGGTTGGATATTTAAGACATCTTTTCTGTGGGCGTTATCATATAATGAACAAAATAATGTGTGGCTTTGTGAATCACATTGCAGAATAATCTTTTTCTCCGTGTTTGCACTTACAAACAGAGGCAGCATAGCCTAAAATGTACACTGTGAAAAATATAAATACGCAGCAATTAGCAAAATCAAATTTTCCACTTGTCTTCTTTCAAAAGTACTATTTACAAATATCTAAAAGTGCATGTAATATGTTTGAATAATAAAGCCTGTTAGGTCCTGTCATGCTCCATATTGTACTTTTCAGAGATATGTTCACAGTGTTTGCTGCTGCTCATCCAAATGCTACAGCCCTTCAGAAAGGTAAGCAAGCTAAACACATATATATACACAAATCATTTAAACACTTTCCAGCTCTGACACAGGTCAAAGAAATAAAAATTGTTTTTGCTACATTGGAAGCTTTCATAATGTTGTGTCTGTTTTTTATGTAAATGGAGTGCAATAATTTTTTATGTAGATGGTTTGAGAGGGTCCAATTTACAACCTGTGCATTTTATTTGGTATTTGTTTAGATTTTGTTGTTGCTGCTGCTGTTCCTCTCGTCTAAAAGATGGGGCCTTAGAAATAAGTAATAATGCAGGCGTTGCCTATCAAGTATATGGTTCCTATAATTTTTGTTTATAATTTGCTTTAGTGGTGCATGTAGGACTAACAAACAAATTTGCAATCAATTTAAGTACCACCAACTTCTTATCATATGGCAAACCTGGAGCGCTTTGGTCTCATGGTGGTTTGAGGCCCTAGGGCAGTTGCCCATTTGGACTGGTTGATAATCCAGTCTGATTTGTTAAAATCTTCCAATTGTAATTGAATAATTCCAATCTTATAGACATTTGCTCCTTGTTATCAGTTGTTTTTAAACTTGACAAATTTCAAAGATGAGTCTCAAAACATCGGCAGTAAGAGTTGGGAAGAGAAAATGGGACAGTTACACCATTTATAAGAAAATGATGATACGTTTAATACAGCAGATTTAAGACAAGGAGAAGACCATTTAAGACCATCCAGATTGGAGACTATGTGTGCTGTAATCTACTTTTCATTGGTAGAACAAGGATTTACAGACAGAAGTAGGTTCTCCTCCGGAGGTCTGGGCGGTTACATTTCAATCACATAAACTGTTTAAACCAGTTAAATAGTCATTCTGCTCACATCCTGCAGTTTAGAACAGTCTGTATCAGCTCTCCTCAGCTCTCCTCAGACACATTCCCTCCATGTTGGGTGGTGGAGAGAAGGGTGGAGGTGAAACATAACACTGTTGAATCTGGGACACCATACTAGGGCACTTAGCAAACGAGCTGATCCCTGGAGCAGGGATCTGGAGACCGACGGGATAAAAGTAGGAGGAACAGTGTCGCACGACAGAATTATCTCTGGACAAAAAGCTTGCGTCTTCCGCAGAAGATGATAATTTGCATCTCAATTTTGAGCCAATGCTGAGTAGGCTTAAGGGACTGCAGCGTGAGGGAGGCGAGCACATAGCCAGGGCATTTAATTAGCTATATGCTGTATCTGCCTATATGTTTCCACTTAAGAAAGATTGAGTGGAAAAGCTTAAGATTCACAGCCCATACGTCTATTTCAGTGAATGTCAATCACAGAATGTTGTGGCAGATTTAGGAAAGCGAAGGTGGGGGGGGGGTCTTTCTTTACAACACTTAAGCTTTACAACATCATAGTAACATACAGTTACTTGGCCTTTAAACATGCTCTATTTCACAGATTGATCTGTTTTAAAGCGGAGAGGTGTTACCTACCGTGGTTTGATGCCTTGGTGTGAACAGGTGTATAGTGATTCTTCGAGGTCCTGACAGGTGTCTCGTCTTTGGGCGACCCATCAATTGCTGCAGTGTTTTCATTATCATACTGAGAAATTGGAACTGGTCCTTGTTGCCTCAGAATGTCTGCCAGGGCTCTGAAAAGAAATCACACAAGAGAAAGAAATGTTTAAACTGAAATGCATTTCTTTCCCAATTACCAACATTTTCTTTTTTTTCTCCTCACCATCCCCCCAAAGGTCTTCCTAATTTATGTAGCTGCAGCTCCATTTTGAATCATAGAGGTTTGAAGCTAGGCAGAGAGGAAATCCTAATTACACTCAGAGTCATAAGGGACTTAGATTTTCAATAGCACGGTACACAAGGTACAGACAAGTCCCATTATGTGTGCCGGACTCAAGCTCAAGGCCCATTTATTAAGAGTTTAGTCAGTGTCTCTTCTTTGAAGCCACAAAATAAAAGCAATATTTCACCAACACCATTTCCAACTTTTGGAGGCACAGTGTCTGTCTGAGAGATGGAGTGCCGGCTCTGCGTTTTCTTAAAAGAAATGAAAGGGCAATTCAACTGTGTCAAAGTCAACCTAATGCAACCACACAGTCCACTTTTCCATAACTCTGTGACTTTGAGACATATAAAGTATATTAATAGCATTTCCCTTCCAGGATGAGCACACTTTAGCCGTTTCTTTTTCGCAGACAGAGGCGACCTGATTTTGTATTGTCCCAGTTGGCTGCTATGTCATGTGCAGCAGGAGCTACAGTAGTTTGCAGGAACAGGACTTTGAACATGTGTTTTAATTCTTTCTTAAGAAAGAATAACATTCGACGAAGGTAGCAAAACCACGGAAATACAGTAGACTTTTGGTTGTTGTCAAGTTACATGGAAACTGCTTTTGTGAGTAATGCTATGTCTGTGTATAATCGTAATCAAGTCCGATCAATACTTGCAAATGCATTTATCGGGTCGTATTTGAGAGTTTAAAAAAAATCAAATCTGTGAAAGCTTTCTTATAAGACAGTGTTTCAAAAGTAATTTAATTTGAGTTGCAGCCTGTCTGATATGAATAGGCATGTGTTCATAAGTCTGGAGGCTCTAATTGCAAAGGCCTGGTCAACCTTTGTCACGAGCCGAGACCTGTGAATAAGCAGCAAAGCATCATCAGCTGATCAATAAATCTTTGACATATTCAGCAGCAAAACCATTTATTGCTTTGGTTCTGCACAGGATCTGATTGCAGACATTCAAAAAGAAGTTCTGAATGAAGTGGTTGAGGGGGAGCACAGAAAACTCTAAATAACAATGGGCCAAGAATGACCCCTTGGGGAACGCCACAATTTAACCGATTTACAGAGGAACATGAGTCTGCTATTACTACATAAGGTTTTGTAAGAAAGGTATGAATATAATTGAGTATATTATATAAAATTAATATAGTTTTACAGCAACAATAAGTTGGTGATATTTCATATTTTTCATACTGTTAACAAATGCCATGGAAAGTCCAAAACCAGCAATGGATTGACCCTGTGTAAGAGAACAGTGAGATCAATCTTATCAAAAACAGAACGGAACTTAAACTGCCATTCCTTGTCATGTTACATTTTTAGTATTGCTGTACCTCAATCTGATGTTTTTTGTTGCCGGCTGATAATATTGCTTATAAATTCTAAGAGCAGACTTTTTAAACAAACTATGGGCTTTTTTAAATTGAACTTTCAGTTATTCTGCTGCTCTTTTTTCCCATTCAGTCGCCTTGCCTTTTAACTCAGTTTCTTACTCCTGCAATCGGAGAACAAAGCATTATTCACACCAGTTAGCCTGCATAAATTGCATCTCAGTTTGCTCTGCAGAAGGTGATCAATAAAACCTGTTCAAATCACTGGGTTTAGCTCTCACTCGCCATTTCTTCTGTTTCAGTGAAGGTCACAGACCAAACAGCAAAGGTCTGCCAACAGCTCAGTATTCTGCTCACTCTCCTCCCTCAGTCACAGAAGTAGGAGTCTAAATTACTTTAGAGAATCACCGGAAATGAAGAGAGAAGCTCCCATATTTTAGAAGCAGACCTTTGCCAAATATAAAGCTAATCCCATGTTCCACTACTGCTTTTTTGGTCATGGCTGTCAGCATAAATGTCTGCTGCCAGCCTCTTAAATCTATTCCAGCAGACATCATTACGACAGCTCTATGTACCAAATGGTCGGTGAAACTAAACAAATCATATAAAGTGAGAAAAGTACTATTGAACACCCAGCAAGCCATGCCTCCTCATTTAATCGACCTCTCTCTAAACTCTCATGGTCTCTGCTCATTTTGAGGTGGTGGCATTAAGAAGATCCACTTGAAAGTATGCCCCATGGCTAGGATAGAAGCGCACTAAGAAGACATAAACTCAACCATCTCTTAATTTTTCAGAGCAGAGATGGAAAAAGTGCTGCATCATGAGCTTTGTTGTTCCTTTTGTGTCTGTTGTTTCAAATAAAATACTGTATCATAGTCTCATGAGTCCATATGGATATTAAAAGCAGAGTGTGCCAACTTTTTAAAAGACACGGCAATCGCTGGAGCTTAAATTTTATATATAACTGATCCACTGAAAGGGCTTCTTTGAGTTGTTGTCAGGGCAAGAGTTAAGACTATTTTTTGTTAAGAACGTGTCACTGTGTTTCTCTGAGCGAGAAAGCTGACTAATCTCCCATGACATTTTCAAAGCAGCATGCACCAAAGTTTAATGACCAAGGCATAACAATGCTCAATTATCTTCATATCGTTAAATCAATGCAAGACGTCCTCCTCTGCTCTGTCCTAAATGGACTCTGGATAAAGGCAGGTGACTCAAGTGAACTGGATAAGACCAATGACGAAGTGATTATGATTTTTTCTTTACCAGTGGGTGGAAAACATGCAATTTTATCTTAGACCTAACCCCAATTAAAAACCCATTTATCCTTTTGATACATTTTCAATACCTGTGTCAGTGGGGAGGGAGAGTATTCCAGCATGCATAACACAAAAGACACCCTGGACAGTTATGTTCCAGTCTTGTATACTATACAGAGACAGACAAACACATTCAGTTTTGGATTTCTTTTCACCTGCTCTGTCTTTGAACTGTGGGAGGAAACCCAAGTGAAAAGGATGAAAACAAAGCATTCTGAATATTTGCCACCAAAGATGTATCTTTGGAGAGTCCCTCACAAATTAAAAAAATAATGGTGTAATCCAAATAATGGTGTTTTCCATGTAATATACTAACATTAACCTTATGCCAGAAGTAGCGGTAGAGCTGCAACTAACATCTTTAAATCGCTTGCTTTGTCTAGTCAGCAGTCGAAAAGCCCAAAGGTATTCAGTTTACTATAATGAAAGACAAGGAAAAGCATCAAATCCTCATATTTGAGAAGTTACAACCACCAAATTTTGTTTGAATGAATCAATGAATCGTCTAATTGTTTTTCTAGTTACAGGATCCATCCACTTAAAGACCCTCATGACATCATTATTTTCTCTATCAGCTTCTCTCTGTGAGCAAAGTGAACAACATGAAGACAAAATAATCTGCCAGGGTTCAAACAGTTTGTCACATGACCGATTTCTGTACAGTATTTGTGATTTTCTCTGTGCTTCTCTCACTGGTTTGAAGTGGGCGGAGCTAATTAAAAAAAAAAGGTGATGTCACATGCTTCTATGCACCAATTGGAATTTAGCCTCATCCACTGTATCCAGTTGCTTGAAATCTGCTCAGCTCATGTCACTTTGACAGAACCTAAATCTGCTGGCACCATTTGTAGCGTGTAACATGCTCTGCACTAACATTTAGCTAACCAAGAGACCAGTTCTCTTCCAAATGCCAAATACCCATAATCTGGTAATAATGAGATGCAACGCAAGTCTATTTTGTTTCAGGACACAAGTGCAGATAACAGCAGTTCGATGTATGACAAAAAACACACACAAAAGAAGATAATAGCCAACATTAAAAAATCATTTGGTGTTGTGATGATGGTGGGCAAATGTCATCTCATGTCTGTTCCCGACATTACTACACAGCAATTTGTTCAGCTGGTGACTGAAATGGCCACAGGATGTGTTTTTATGTTGCTTTCACGCTCATCGAGCAATTCAGTGACCACTATCGGTGCCTTGAGGATTTCAAAATATTGTCACGTACAGAAGAGACCACCCATCAAGATGTACATGATCACTGGTAATGGCTTTCAGTGGTATTTACTTTATCCCCCTGGTGTTGAAGGAACACAAAATACTACCCACTCTCCCTCCTGGGATTGACACAGTATGGGATGGAAAGGTATACAATCTTGACATTTTTTGACAGGGAGTCTCTGGGGAGGAGAGTAATGGCATGTGTTAAAGCCCACTAGACAGTTTGACCCCATGATATTGAGGCTGTAAGTTACTAAGTTTTTGGCTGCTTTGAGTCACTTGTGTCACCAGGACCATGTTTAAAGAAATAAATGAGGCAAAACAGAGTCTCAAACAGTAGATATATATGCAGAGTTGACAGTATGACATCTCTTTTTACCATTCATAGTAGTCTGGGCAAACAGAAGATTAAATCAGTTTCGTTTTCTCATTAAAATGATAAGCCTGTAATGCAGCTCCAGGAATATCTGCTTGGGTATAGACGCCTAATCCTGTTTGCTCACTTATATCTGAAATACCTTAAGGTATCGGTACACATTTTATATTCTTTTTCAGCTTTTTCACAGCTCTTTATCAATAAAAATAGTAATCACAAAGAAAATCTTACCTGTGCACATTCATTTCCTGAGGGGGCTTGGTGGCTTTATCATAGGCAACTTTGGCAGAAATCCCAATGGCGATGATGAGCGCTATGACCCCGCAGGTGATGTACACCGTGGTGTTCGTCTGGTCCAGCTCTGGGTCGTACGTGTCACCTGTTGGCGCCGGTGAAGGGGGCTGGGTTTTGATCCAGTCCGGCGTGTTGTAGTTGGTGCAGCTCTTCTGCTCCAGCCGCTTCCCCCGGTCCGCGCAGCAGAAGCGCAGGAAGCAGGAGCCGCAACAGAAGCGGTGGTCGGTGTTGTTGCAGGAGAACTCTTTGTCGTACTGCCCGCTCACGTCGTAGTAGCCCAGGCAGGTGTCGTGTTGGACCGAGGGAGCCTGGACCTGGGTGATCTTCCCCGGAACGGCCGCGGCCAACGGGACCGCAGTGGTACTGCCGTTGACCTCCTTCACCTTTGGGTTCCTCCTCGGCGGGGTTTTGCTCTTTTTATTGGTGGTGGCGGCGCACAGGACATTCAGCGGGTCTAAGTAAATCAAAAGAAGCAGAAGGTGCTTTATCCCCATCATTTGAGGACGCGCTGGTGTTTGGTCTTTGGCCTCCACTCTCTTCTGTCTTATCTTTCTCTCTGAATGTCACTCTTCCACTTCTTACCGAGTGGAGCTTCTTGCGGGTTTCTTCATCGCAGGTATTCCTTTATGTGCCAAGCTTTCACTGACGGACTTTGACTGGCAGAGTTTGCGCTCATCAGACACACAATGCATCTTCTGACTTAGTTGCCATCCGCTTTAGAGCTTGTTTTCTTACAAAAGTTCTCTTTGGCCAAATGTACTCTTTGATTTCGGCTGCAGAGACGCGATAAAGATGTGATGTCCTCCAGAGAAATCTGTCTCTTCTTTACCATGAGCTGATCTTGAGTGTGATCGGAGCTCGTGGTTAGACTGTGGAAGAGAGAGAGGCGTGTGCAGAGGTATTTAGTCGCTAAAATATGACTTTATGTTATGCCAAGTATCAATGAGAAACTTTATCAATTGCAGGCATTATTAAAAAAAATAATTTGGATCAATAATTGGCACTAACTGGACTGACTGTAAACCTGCTAACACTTTCAGCACCACGGACAGCGCCCAAGTTTCCATTTGGCTGTTTGGCTGAAGCTCTTCAACCTCAGAAAGTGAATAGGTTCTTACTTTTTTTGTTTTAATTTCTATTCACACTTAAAACCGGGTTATTTAACAAGAAAATATATACACTCCGTGAGATTAATTCTTATAATAGCTTCCTTCGGCTTTATTTTACGCATAAACTTTCTGACATCCGACTTACTGAGTAAAAAAGGAGCATTAACTTCTGTTTTTTTTAAAGTGAGAAATAAAAAAGAGAGGAAGAAGATGATGAGGACTTACCGGGTTAACGGTGGCCGGTAACGGGGTTGTCTCAGCCACTGTCACTGAATCAAAGAGCCTCAGCAAGACAAGAGGCAAGACCTCTCTTTCCTCTCCGGCCCGCCTCCCTCTACCTCTCTCTCTCGCTCTCTCTCGCTCTCTCGTCACCCCGACCCTCCTCCCCCCCCCACCAGCCACACACGTCACCGATTCAGGTACCTCAGTTAATTATCAATCGGCATCTCCCCTCCTGCTTTGGTCATATGCCTCTAGGCTTCACTCGATAATTCGCGGAGGTGGAAAAAATCTGAAGGATAGCTAATTGTATTAGAAACTGTCTGTAAGAGCCGAGGCGCTGGTGTTGGTGTACATTCACGCATCAGGGCACACACAAGCTGCATCCACTCACAAGTCACCAATCACGTCCAGTGTTGGGGTGTGTGTGTGTGTGTGTGTGTGTGTGTGTGTTATAACTTATATGCAACTGCAGGGGAGGAGGGAAGGATTTGGTTGCTGTGTGGTACAAGTGGAACCTTTTTAGTATGACTTCCAAAGTAAAACCAGTTATTACCTGAATATTTTTACTTTATTCTGGAGATTTCACAAAGTAATTCTTAGATTTTTTATCTCAAAATCTCGAATTATTTGAAATTAGGGACTTTTTCTTTCTTCATGACTGCCTATGACTTTCAGAATTTGGCTTTATGTAGAAATATGACTTATCAGATTTTCACAGAATTCACTTTGCTCTCAGAGTCTTGACTTTATTTTGACTTTGAGATTTAAAACTTTTAATATGAAATTTGACATTAATATTATGAATTGTTTGATTGTCTGACATTGTCTTGAATCCACTTGATTAACAGAATTGTGAATTTTCACTTTAGTATAGAAATAACGCTATTCCCACATATTTTAATTTATCTAAAAAGTCCAGCTTTGTCAGGGCTGCAGCGGTTGAGGACCCAAATACAAGACACAGGAGCAGAGCTGGAACAGTTCAAGAGATTTATTAACAAAAGGCGTGCACACTACTAGGAGTGGCAGAGTTCCAACAAGTCCATATAACACACAACTTGACACAAAAACAAAAACCCAAGATCCACAGGCAGGAAACAAGCAAGGGATGACACCAGAAAGAGCATGAAAAGAAACAATAATCTGACACAGACTGAACGGAACACAGGCATTAAGTAATAGGGCTAACGAGCAGGGAGGGAGTCAACAGGTGAAAGACAGGAGGGAATAATTAGACACAGGGACAAGCTAGACACAAACACCACACAAAATAAACCAGGAAGTAAAACATGCGACAACAGACCAGGACCAAACCAAAATTCAGAATACAAGAACAGAACAGACTAAAAACTAATCATACAGATAGACTACAAACGAAACAGGGCCAACAGAGCAAACCAGGATCAAACAGAACACAAAACAGACATAGGCAAAAACAACAAACACAGAAGTACACAGATCAGGAGTAAACACTAAGACATGAACTAAAACGCAGGACTAAGAGGTACATTAAAACAGAATGAGAACCAACACAAAATCTTTACAAAAATAAACAAGGCAAAACAGTAGAACAAGACATGGAACCAAAACAAGACCAAAAACCTTACATCATAACAAACTTTATTATCAGGACTCACCTCACTCATGGAATAAGGACTTTATTTTCAAAAATATGACTTAAACCTCAGAGGTTTGACTTTTTCTGAAATTTGACTTTACATGGAATTGTGACTTAATTCTGAGACTCTGTTACTCTTAGACTTCACTTGACTCTTATTATGATGTTATTCTCCAAATCCTGAATTTGATTCAGACTGACAAAAAGTCAGGCTGGCTGGGTTTTTCTTGAGACCGTATTAAACACGTCCTCTTGTTTCATCCAACATCAACATTGTTTTGAACACACACATTCCATTTATGCAAGATTAATTCATTTATCAATGCTTTCCATAATGCAACAGTCCATTTCTGCAAAGGCATTACAAAGAGAAAAATTGGCAGTGGAAGACCGTTAAGAGTAATAATAAAGTAAAGTCTTTTGCTTTTTGATGGAGTTTTAATCGTATTCACAAATGTGTTTCAATCTGGTAAAATCTGGTTGCACCAGATGGTGAAAATGAGCACATTCAAACATCCCAGACAGGTGATTTGACAGCAAAAGGAAACAACATCAAATTGACTTTCAAATACTTTGCTGTCATTGACTGAACTCCATTGTCCTCATTCCCTCAGTTATTATCTGGCGTGTCAAAGCTCATCCATCTGGTGTGCAGACTAAAACCACTGCCAAGATTTATTTGTCTTAGCCAGCTTGAGCACTATTTGATCAAGGTGAATGCTGTTTGACCAAGGTCTGCTGTTATTACCTTTTATAGCAGAGAGGTGCACTGTAGCCCCCTGTGGGGAAGGTGATCATATTTGTTGGAGCCCTCTCCAACATTTAACTACTATTTAGTTACACTGATCCTAAACAGCCACAAACCAGCAGTGTTTGTCAAACTATTCTTCATTAGCAAGCATTACTTGTTAGGTTTTTGTTTTGTGCTTGTCTTTTACCGTGCGTTCTGTGTGTGCTCTAAATCTCTCCAGGTGAGTCTGGTGACGTCACTCCGGCAGCTGAATCAGTGCTATTTTCTCAAATCCATTTTAAAACGAATTCAGAACACACTTAAATCTCCATGTGTCAGAGCGTTCATCAGAAGTTTTATGACTAGTTAACAACTTAATTGTACAAACAGTTTCCTCTTCAGTAGCTTTACAATTGTTAAAACGATCTTATTCCCAATTCCACACTGTCTGAAAGTGTCATATGCATTCAGTATAAGCTTGTTTCAGCTCTTTGTTGAAGGTACATGATGTTTAGATGTCTGCTGCATCATTTTAGACAACACTGGCCTGTCATTTATTTGTATCTTTGAATGCTGTGCTAGAATATGAAAGAATTTTAGGCTGCACAGCATGAGTTTATACTGGCTTGTCCTCAGATTAAGGGGTTTCCTTAAGAGATAAAACAATATAGATCAAGATACAGTAGAGAGTATATTATAGTGATGTTAAATGATTAGAAAGACTACCAGACCTTGAGTTGACATTATATCACAAAAGGTGAATTAAATTCCCAGAACACAGTTTGATGGTTTAAAAAGCCTAAAATTCTACATTTTATTATGACGACGATGAACATGACGTTAAGAGGATAATGATGATGATGATGATTGCAATCTTCAATCTTTTTGTCTGTTTTAGTGTAATTATCATCCACCCAAAGAGGTAAAAATTTCCAGTATTTTACTACAATCAGAGAAAGTAAAAAAAAAATCCATATTTACTCTCAATTGTGAGTTGTATCTCACAATTGTCATCTGATATCAGTAGCTATGTACTGTAAACATAGGAAAGATTATAGGTTCTTGAGGAGGTCATTAAATCAAAGGTGACTGCACTCTTGGCATCTCACAGATGGATTCAAAACTCATTTTAATAATGATTCCTGGTTGATTTATACTTTTACTTCTGGACTTGAGTTGTACTTTATCTCATGCAGCTAATTTCACACCCCAGACAGAAGAGAAATGGGACCTTAATTGTCCAGCCATACTTTACACCAGTCATGTGATCTACTCATGCGGGCCTTAGAAATAAAGCGTGATCAACTCCACGGCGCCCCTGACAGCGCTGTACAGATAATATAACAAGGAGCGAAGAAAAAGGGCACAGAGGTTTTGATGAATGTCTTTCCACACTGGATGCTCCGGAAGTCAGCATTTGCAAATTGGCCCTCCATTCGTCTGTCAGTCAAAATGGCACATCAGATGGCATGTTGAGCACAAAGGGGAAGAGGAATTGTCCATTAATGTTAAACGGCTCCAAGTGCGCAAAGCTGGCTTCAGCAAAAAGCGCTGACAGGTAACGACGGGGTCGACATTGGCTGAAGAATAATGAGACCATACTTCCACAGAAGAATGAAATAATAAATGACACCAAAGAGATCTCGAGCTCGGAGTCAGCTTTCCACTCCAACAGCACAAAACAATCACACAGGGAAAGTAACACAGCTCTTTACACCACTGTGGGGAGGCTCTTGAAAGCACTCGCCTTGTAATTGTCACGTTGATTAGTATCACGGATATTTGCCCCACATTCTCTCTCTAGTATCTAGTTGGTCTATATTTTGTCTTTCAATCAGGGATTTTATGTGGGTCTTGATTTGGCTTAGCTCAGAGCACCAACCAAAATGTCTGCCCCAGTTCTGGTGCAGAGGGGAATTGCTCTCCTCTGACACCGGCCCCGTTCAAGGGTCCGCGCCGTCGCCTTTGTTAATGAGCCAGGCAGCCTCAACATATTTCAAAAGCTCAACACTCGAAGTAAAGTGAATCTTAACACTTTTGGTATGACTGTGCATCACTAAAGGAGTCACGTAGCTCAAACCCTGTTGATCCTTGGAGGTGTCTGATCCTCTATACTGTGCCTCTTGACTTAAAGTGGTCCCATAATAATCTTTACTTTACATCAAGCTCGTTGGCC